GTGTTATCAGTTTTGATGATACTACATTTGTCATTCAGGATAAGCTTACGAAGAATTTTTTTTACAAATGATCTAATCTTCATGGCTTCTATCATTTTCTTCCATCCACTTCACTACCTGTTGATCATGCTTTTTCAACAGCTCCCACAAGTTTTACTTCCCAAAAGTTGTCTAGTTCTATTTCTGTTTCTAATAATGTTTGGCATAATAGGTTAGGGCACCCTAGTGCTTTGAAGTTTAAGCATCTTAGTTAACACTTGCATCTTAACTCTTCTCCTTCTGTAACATCTCAAGCTTGTGTAGACTATTGTATTGCCAAAAGTCATAGATTACCTTTCAAATTGTCTAATTCTACTGTAAATAAGCCCCTTGCTTTAATTCACAGTGATGTTTGGAGATCTTTTTTATCCACTTCTTGTTATAAATACTATGTTCTCTTTGTGGATGACTTTAGTAGGTTTACTTGGTTATATCTATTGGTTTATAAGAGTAAAGTTTATACCAAGTTTCTTGAATTCAAAACTTATGCAAAAAAACAATTTGATACTCACCTTAAGATCCTTCGAATAGATAGTGGTACAAAATTCTTTAATAACAAAATGAAAGCTCTCACTGTGTCACAAGAAATTGTTCATCAACATTCTTGTCCTCATACACCATCTCAAAATGGTGTAGTTGAACGAAAACATAGAAATCTCACTAAAATTGCTATTGTTCTACTTTACCACTCTTCTATTCCTGTGCATTATTAGTTTGATGCTATTGCTTAAGCACTTTCCCACAGCTCTACCAAATAGGGCCTAATTCTACTGTAAATAAGCCCCTTGCTTTAATTCACAGTGATGTTTGGAGGTCTTTTTTATCCACTTCTTGTTATAAATACTATGTTCTCTTTGTTGATGACTTTAGTAGGTTTACTTGGTTATATCTATTGGTTTATAAGAGTAAAGTTTATACCAGGTTTCTTGAATTCAAAACTTATGCAAAAAAACAATTTGATACTCACCTTAAGATCCTTCGAATAGATGGTGGTACAAAATTCTTTAATAACAAAATGAAGGCTCTCATTGTGTCACAAGAAATTGTTCATCAACATTCTTGTCCTCATACACCATCTCAAAATGGTGTAGTTGAACGAAAACATAGAAATCTCACTAAAATTGCTATTGTTCTACTTTACCACTCTTCTATTCCTGTGCATTATTAGTTTGATGCTATTGCTTGTGCCACTTACTTCATTAATAGACTGCCTTTTTCCAAATTGGCTTATAAGACACCTTTTGAAACTTTGTTTCATAAACTTCTAGATTTTTCTCTTCTTAAAGTTTTTGGTTGCCTATGCTTTCCTTGGCTCAAACCTTATCATCTTACCAAACTGCAACCTAAATCAATTGAATGTGTCTTTTTAGGCTATCATTCTTTTGCCAAAGGGTATAGGTGTCTTGATCTCAAAACTAGAACTATTTATCTTTCTCGTCATGTAGTGTTTAATGAACAGATTTTTCCTTTTGCCCATCAAGCTTCTTTCTCCTCATCCTCTTCTTCAGCACAACTCCTTTTCCTTCATTTCTTTTTTTGGTTTTCACTTTATTCTTCTCCACCTTTATAGACATCATCTGTTCCCACTGTTTCTATTTCACCAGTATCTTCTTATTCTCCTGCCTCTGCTTCACTAACACCTGGTTTTTCTTCTGTTCCAAATTATACTAGTTTACCTCATCCTTCTACTAGTTTACCTCACAAATCTACTGGTTTAGCTCTCAGTCCCTCTTCAGCTCAGTCTTCTCTTCTACTTATTTTTCATTCCCTTCATTCTCGTATTCCTATTAACTTCATTTATATTCAGTTGCCTCTTCCTTCTCCTTCTGCTTCCTTTCCATATGTGCCTCCTTCTTCTAATTGTCATCATATGCTTACTAAGTCTAAAGTATCTCTCCTCGCTCTCAAACCTGCGTCTCTTTCTTCTCAAGATGTTGAAGTAATGGAAGTAGAGGTGTGTTTAACAAATAAAGAAGAGTCACAGTGACTAGGAACAAAATCACGAGAAAGAAGAAAAGAAGAGAAAGTAGAGAACCAAGCTCGAGGAGCTTGTTTTAAACCATAGAGAGCCTTGTGCAATTTGCAGACAAGTGAGGGATGAGTAGCATCTATAAAACCTTGAGATTGATGCATATAAACTTCTTCTTCAAGAATGCCATGAAGAAAGGCATTTGAAATGTCAAGTTGCTTAATAGGCTAATGCTAATGAAGAGCTAAACATAAGAGAACTTTGATTGTGGGTTGTTTGGCCACATGACTAAATGTTTCATGATAGTCAACTCCCTCAGCTTGAAGAAAGCCTTTAGAAACTGGTCTGGCTTTGTGTCTACCATTTTGTCTTAGCTAAACATAAGGATCTCTACTCACAAAAGCTTAGAGCTCTAATACCATAAAGAGAATTTGATCTTGATATTCAATCACATTACAGATAGATTTACAATCACTATTTATAGAGATAAGCTATCTATCTCTTAACTATAACTCCTAACCACTTAACCCTAACTATAACTACTATCTAACTCTAGTTCTAACAAACTAACAACCAAACTAACAACCTCGAAGCTTTAGCTGAGTTGCAGTTTATATGGCTGTTGTTTGTCTTGTATCTGGCTTAGGTTGCAACTGTGGTATGTAAGACTTGAGCTGTTGTAGCTGAGGAGATGACTGACCATCTTGATCATAATCAATATGAGACTTGGATGGATGCTTATAAGTTCGTACTAAGCCTGGTACGTTGGATTGTAAGCCATATGTCAACTATATCTGTTAAGCATGGGTTGCCTTACAAATTTGATGTTCCGTTCCACAATCCTTCTTTCTATAGAAGTATAGTTGGGGCATTACAGTACTTAACCATTACAAGGCTTGACCTGTCTTATGCTGTAAATCACATATGTTAGCATATGCATAATCCTACTCTTGGCCATTTTGCTGGTGTCAAAAGATTGCTTTGGTATCTTAAAGGAACTCTGTTTTAGGGCCTCACTTATACACCCAGTTCATTTGCTCTTCAGGCCTATTCTGATTCCAATTGAGCTGGAGACTCTGTTGACCGAAAATCCACTTTTGGATATTGTGTCTTTCTGGGCTCCAATCTTATTTCTTAATCAGCCAAGAAACAAGCCACTGTGTCTCGATCCTCTACTGAAGCAGAGTATAAATCATTGGCTCATAATGCTGCTGAACTGACTTGGATTGGCATGTTACTTCATCATCTTTGTATTGTGTCTTCCACAATTCCTCTTCTCTAGTGTGATAATGTCTCTACCATAGCCTTAGCCTCTAATCCAATTTTTCACTCTCGATCAAAACATATAGAAGTGGATTACCACTTTGTTCGTGATCAAGTCCTTGCTAAAAAGCTTGAGTTTCACTATGTTCCTACTCTTGATCAGTTGGCTGATATATTTACTAAACCATTATCAATCTCCTGTTTCTCTTATCTTCAATCCAAACTGATGTTCGTCTCTCTTCCTATCAATTTGAGGGGGAATGTTGAGGAATTTAATTCAGCCAGCTTAGGTTCAAGTAGTTTAGCAGCTCAGTCAAGTAATGCAGCAGCTCAGGTGCAACTCCGGCTCAGATTGCAGTTCAACATATTACAGTTCAAGAAGTTCATCTGTTTAGGAGTTAGTTAGAGTTAGTTACACAGTTGAGAAGATAGTTAGTTTGTTAGAAGATATTTTGTTTAGATGATTAATTGAGCTCCTTCTTACTTTGTATAAATATAGCTGATGTACTATCAAATGCATTGTTGAGTAAGAAAGTATATTGGTTTCAGTTTTGTTTCAAATATATATAAAAAAAAAATCCTATCAAATAATTATTATTTTTGTAGTTTACTACTAAAATGGTGTTTTCTATTAAAAAAATCTGTTTATAAGTAACATTTTGGGTAAATTGCTAGTAGATCTTAATAGTTGGATTTAATTGCTATTAAGTCATATTAATTTGTCGCTAAAAGTTGGTCTTGTCAGAATCATCGTTAAAAAAGGCTTTTTGGAACGATTTTTTGAATCTGTCGCTAAAATACGAACAATTAGTGATGTGTTTCTATTAAAAAAAAAATTTAATTGTACCTAAAACTTACAATTAATAACATTTTCTGTGATAAAATTTTTAAACTATTATTAAAAATTAATAATTAATGATTTTTTTTATCAATATTTGATGAAAAATATCTCTAATTATTACAAAATTTATTAAATAATAAATTCACTTAATAAAACCTGCCTAGTCCTAACATTTTCCATTCTCACAAAACAAAGTTTGAAGTCACTATTTGCACCGACTCTCAAGTTATGGGTATGACATATTGTGGTATATATATGATGCAAGTGAAAATAACAATAATTGTATTGAAAATGGCATGTACAATAAAACTATACATTATTTTTAATAGTAACATTTTCTGTGATAAAATTTTTAAACTATTATTAAAAATTAATAATTAATAATTTTTTTTTATCAATATTTGATGAAAAATATCTCTAATTATTACAAAATTTATTAAATAATAAATTCACTTAATAAAACCTACCTAGTCCTAACATTTTCCATTCTCACAAAACAAAGTTTGAAGTCACTATTTGCACCGACTCTCAAGTTATGGGTATGACATATTGTGGTATATATATGATGCAAGTGAAAATAACAATAATTGTATTGAAAATGGCATGTACAATAAAACTATACATTATTTTTAAAAAGCATAGTTAGTGGTAGTATTGTAATTAAAAAAGATTACATGAAAATGAATGCAATAGGGAGAGGAGAGAGAGAGAGGAAAAAAAGGAGAACAAAAGCACCTCCATTGGACCCATGTCATGTCTATTCATTAGACTCTCTCAAGATGTGATCTTCATCTTTCTCCACCATTTTCTTCACTCTCCTCCCCCCTTTTTCTTCCGTTCCAATTCTTCCCAAAAATACCCAAGAATTCTTCCCCTCACCCACCAACCATGTCCTCTGAAAAACCCAAAGACTCAGCCGAAGCATCGTCGTCGCGATCCGCCATCACCGTCGCCGACCACAACCACAACCACCAGCAACCACCACCACCACAACCGGCAACTTTAAGCCGGTACGAGTCGCAAAAAAGGAGAGATTGGAACACTTTTGGGCAATACTTGAGGAACCAAAGACCTCCAGTTTCACTCTCACAGTGTAATTGTAACCATGTACTTGAATTCCTTCGTTACCTCGACCAGTTTGGAAAAACTAAGGTTCATTTACATGGGTGTGTTTTTTTCGGGCAGCCTGACCCTCCTGCCCCATGCACTTGCCCCCTCCGGCAAGCTTGGGGTAGCCTCGACGCTCTGATTGGGCGGCTTAGGGCAGCTTACGAAGAAAATGGAGGATCGCCGGAGACAAACCCGTTTGGGAACGGGGCTATTCGTGTTTATTTACGCGAAGTTAAGGAGTGTCAATCAAAGGCGAGAGGGATTCCATACAAGAAGAAGAAGAAAAAGAAGAACATGATCAAGCCTAATCATGAACTAAAGCCTCCCAAACAGTCCACTACTTAGAATGGTAATTTTGTTAGTTATATATATATATATATATGGTTTAGAAAGTAAGTATTTTATTGTGTTTCTTGAAATTCAGCTTCATAATTTCATCTATAGAGTGAAATGATGGGGGGAAATAGGTGAATATAGGGTAAACGTTCACGAATAACAAATTGTTTTTTTTTGGGGATTAGCAAAGAAAATTTTATTAACTCGAGAATAGAAATTACTTTGAGATAAAAAGGTTGAGGAGCAAAACTTCATTGATGCACATGAGGTTATTAGAACTAACAAACTATTACTGGAAGGTTATTTTTGGAGAGGATTGACTTGAGTGATCAAATTTATTTGTTGGGGTGTAGAATCCTTCATAAGAACCCTAAACCCAAATGACCCCAAAACCCTAATTTGCATGATTTTTTTTTAGATTGTGAGCATGATTTCAATGAAAAATCTTCTACAAAATCTTACCCTAATTGCATATAATGAATTTCACACATAGAAACAATTAACAGTTGCCCACGATTGAAGTGGGACAGTAGTCTCTTTCTCTCTCTCTCTCTCAAATCATGCAAAACACTGTTTATTATGTGGTTTCCTAATTTAATATTTTCTTGATTACATATTTACTTTTCTCTTGTTTTTAGCTCTTTTGTGATTCTGCACGATTTTGTGCCCCCCATGGATGACCATGTTATACATCACACTTTGCATCGATCTGATTTACATTACAAACAAATTGTGGTGGTGATTAAACATTTCTAAATTCTTGCAATCTCTTTCACATTTCATTTCTCATTATAAAGAAATAAAAATTGAAAAAAAACACTAGGATCATTGTGATTCTGTTAGATACACGTCATCCGGGTCCTTGTTAATTTACGTATTCTTCCCTTTGCTAATCAAAAAATAAATAAATTTGGGTCATTATTAATTTAAGTATTGTTTTGTTGTTAATAAATTAATTCATTGTTTACATTCTGAGAAGGATAGGATTAGCTGCTTGTTCTCCTATGTTATTTATAAAATTGCTTGTTAATATGTGTGCAATTGGCCATTATTTCTTTTATGTCCTATACTTATTATAAAATCCTATGCTTCATTGTCTTATGTTTGCTTTGAGTATTGTCTGGTGGTCAAATTGATATAACCAAAGAAATATATATATATATGTATATATTAGAAATTTGTGATTCATGTTTTTTGAATTTTGCAAGAGAGATATCATTACCAATCTTTGGAGGTAGTCCTTACTCCTTAATCTTTAAATTTAAAGTCTAATTGGACTATTGCCATTGTTATCTACTTACTTTGACATTTAGCTCACCCATTCCAAAATTTTCAATTTGATCACTCCTTGAAACATAAATCTCAATAAGTATTTGAGCTAATTAAATTCACCAAGTCACTTTCCCAACATTTGTGGCACAAATAGAAAATTTTAACCTTACAAGGTTTATCTCTCATCTATGAGCTCTCCATTTCTTATTGCACCATCCATCTTTATTGATTGTATCTTGTCTCATACATTGATTGAATCAATAAAGTTTTTTTTGTTTTTTTGCTGATCAAAAAACCTTCGGTGCCAAATACAAATTGAACCATCGAGAACCTGTGTATATTGTTTGGATGAAATCTAATGACTAGTTTAGTTCCAATTATGTTGAACCTAATTTGGTCTATGACATGAAATGACTTGAGTTATCTAAAATTCTAATGATGTTTGGCTCAAAATTGATGACACAGTGGACACTACATAAAGTGAAGATGTTTCCACCTTAATGGAACTATGTCGTGAGTCCAGCTGGCTAATTCTTCATATGCATTAACATTATTATCTTCTTCTTTTTTATTATCGTCTTCCCTATTTTTCTTTAAGACAAACACCGTGCAAAGAGTTTCATTAAGAAAAAAGAATGAAAGAGTTGGAACAAATACTGGCATTCAAGCACCCAAGAGAGATATAAAACATTTTTAATGAGTGTTGTTCATTGATCCATTTCAGATACCAAATTTGAAACCATTCCATTCTCTTCCAATGAAATGATATCTTGATCCTTAACCGTAAGAACTCGACCCTATTTTATTTTTAAATTCTTATAGAATTCCATAGCAAAATGTTATGCATCACCTTTGTGTCAATTTTGTCCTTGCATTATTAGTTTGCTTGCTTTTACCCCTAAATTTTTTATTCTATGTTAATTTGGTGCAAGCAATAACAAACGTTGCCGACAGGGGGATGGGAAGAAGGGGAGGAAGGCAACAGTAGGGCCAAGGAAGGAGGAATGAGGTGTTGGAGGGAACCTAAGAGAGGAGAATGAAAATGTTGGGATCAGAGTTAAGGAAATATAGATGGAGGGCAATGTGCAGTGAGATGAAGAGGGGTTGGGGGAGGGTTACGGAGTAGTCAAGGAGGGAGTTGGCCTAGAGAGGGGAAGGGAGGTGTTTGGTTTGCCTATCTCCCATATAAAATTATAGAACATTTAACAAAATTCTAAAGTAGTCCATAAAATTGCATTAGCTTGCCTATCTCCCCTCTTTGTTTTTTAATGGTTAAACCAAATTGAGTTTTGCCATCTTCTTCATTTTCACTTCTTATTATTAAAAATTGCTTGGAAAAATTTGTACTCACATTTAATTCATTCTTCAGTTGAATGCCTAGAACAAAGATGTTTCGAATGTGGTTTCTACTGATCTTTTTTTATTTTTTTTGGTCGATTGATAGGAGAAAGTTTACACTAACTTGAAATAAAAAAAATATATCGAGAAATAAAGATTATGAGAACAAGACGTTGCCACTTAACAACAAATCTCAAGTCTATTTTAGAACCACTGAAAATGCCTAAAATTGGCAAGTTACAAACTAAAAGCAAAAAACCCAAACTTATGAATTTACACTCTACCTAACTAAATCTCATGAATTTATTAATTTGGAGAAAATTACCCTAGTAGTCTATGTATTTTACCATTTTGACAAAACGGTGCTATGTAAATGAAGCTAGATATCATTCTAATATATGAAACTCTCAAATCCACAATAAAAGAAACATTGAATCTACAAAGAATAATAAAATAGAGAAAATTATATTAATGCAAAAATTGAATTCCCATGAAGCATACAACCTTATTTATAACAAAATAACTATCATCCTTTTTTGACATGAAATAATATAGAATTAAAGAAAATTTCTAATAATAAAATATTTGAGTTAAGCTCAAATCTGAACACTAGAATATAAATTTTAAAAAAAGGAAAAATTATGCAAATAGTCCTTATAGTTTAAACGATGTGTCAATTTGATCCCTGTTGTTTCAATTTGTTCGATTTTGTCCCTTAATTTAACGGATTGTTTCATTTTAGTTCAATAAATAATGTTTGTTAAGTTAATTTAACGGAAAGTCAAACAAAGTGGCAATTTGGCCCCTGTATTTTACACAATGTGTCAATTTGGTGCCCGTCAAAATCGAGAAAATTATAACAATAGTGACCAAATTGACACATCGTGTAAAGTAAAAGGACCAAATTGACACATTGTTTGACTTTTCGTTAAATTAACTTAACAACCGTTATTTATTGGACTAAAATGACACAATCTGTTAAATTAAGGAACAAAATCGAGCAGATTGAAGCAACGAGGACCAAATTGACACATCGTGTAAACTACAGGGACTATTTGCATAATTTTCCCTAAAAAAAAAAAATGTCAACACAAGCAGCATCAATTTTGGAAACTTCTAAACAAAGTTATAACTAAATTAAAACTTTCCAAAAATGGTAATATAATGATAACTTGATGCCCTAAACAATGGGATTAAGCTGAAAAGCGGGGTATGGTGAATCAATGAGTATTGTTCATTGAGCCATTTCAAATCAAACCACCAAATTTGAAACCATTCTCATCCTTGTCCAAAAAGTTACGTCTTTACCCTTAGTCGTAAAAACTTGACCCCTATTTGGTAGTTCTAATTGCTCATAGAACTCCATAGAAAGTTGTTCTCGTCATTTTGGTGTCAATTTGGTCTCTACATTTTTTATTGACTCGATTTTTTCACCTTGAATTTTTGATTTTGTGTTGGTTTGGTCCAATCAATAATTAGCATTGTGATAAGCATTTGGGGTGGTTGGGAGAAGAAAGAGGAAGTTGGTGCTAGGGTTGGGGAAATGAGAAAGAGGCACTGAGAGGAAGCTGGGGAGAAAGATAGGGAGGTAATGACAAAGAAACTGAAGGAGGTGGTAGTGAGTCAACGAGGCTAAGTGATGGAGACATCAGGGGAAGTTGGCCTAGAGAACAAGAGGGAGGTGTTAGGGGGCTAGGGGAAGAGGATGAATGCAGTGGGGTGGGGAATTGGGGAAAATGGGAGAACTGATGACAAACGAGCTTAATGAAACATAAGATAAAGACTTATGTATTCTTACAGAAAATTGGGGTCTTGTTTGGAGGAAACTGTATTCTGTGTTGTTTTTGTAAACAAGATTTGGAGTCAGTAACACATGTACTCCTTCATTGCCCCTTTGTGTGGAAGGTTTGGTCATCCTTGTTGAAGTGGTGGGGGTTACATTGGGTTATTCCTAGCACAATTGTTTCTCTAATGCATTAGTGGGAGGGTGGTAAGTTTAAGAAGAACGAAAATGTGTTTTGGAGATCAGTCCCTCTTGTTACTCTTTGGTCTATATGGAAACTAAGGAATGAGTGTGTTTTCAATAAGACAAAAGCTAATATTGAGGTCTTATTTGAGCTTATCAAAACTAGATTGGCTCTTTGGCTCAGATCATCATCAAAGGAATGGCAATACCCAGTGAGTGATTTTATTTACAATCTAAATCAGATTAGAAGGTGTCTTGGTAGGGGTTGATTGATCCATTGGCTAATTGGTTGTTGGTTTTCTTCTAATTTTTTTCAAGATTTTTGTGCTTCTTTTGTTCTGTTTTCCTTTCTGGTTGGTGCCTCTCCAACTTGGGCTTGAGTAGTAGTCATACTGTGGTCATCTTGGTACCAACCTAGTTGGGATTAGGATTG